TCCCTAGCGGCTTTAGGATTCCCTTAAAGTAATTTTTAGATAGCCAAGCCTGTCCAAGTTTCCGCTAGAGGGCCGCGCGACATAGCACTTTCTCGTAAGAAGAAAACCGCACGCGATGTTATAAATTATATCACATGCCTTTCACGATTCTTAAGGCCCAAACACAATGCCAGGCAACAGGCAATAGGAACAGGAAATAGAATTTCTGACGCGTTGGGTTGGTTGGAAGAAAATTTCCGACGAATCCAAGACTATAAGGTTTCTGTTAAATTCTTAAAGTCAGTTTTAAGTTTACCTTAAATAAAAGTTTAATAAGTAAATGTTTCTTATTTTTTTAAGTAAAATTTTTAGGTTTTCTAAGGTATATTTTCCTAAGGGTAGAGTTATTACTTTTTAGTCAATTGTAATTGAAAATATTAAAACATTTTCAAGCATTAAGACAACTATCTGATGTTTTTATTCATTAATACTGATGTTGTTTCAATTATTTTATTTTAATTACACTGATCTTGTTGATACAACATAATTTTTTCCCGGGTAACATTATTTCATGTCCCTCTTTGAAGCAACTTTTGTTTGAAACATTTCTCTATGAATAATGTATTTTCGAGTTCAGATTTGTCAAGTTAAATGCCTCACTCTCTTTATTATAATATTTATAAATTTTTTATTATAATATTTATAAATTTATTAGATATACATACATAAATTTAGAATGAGTACTTATTAATTATATTTCTATAATGATTTTCTGTAGTGCTTCGTGTCTGCAATTTCCAGTGTGCGATACAAATAGAAATAAGAGAGTTCAGAGCTGATGTTTATTAAATAATGTAAAACGGTGCTTGAGAAAGTGTATTGTGTAGCATATTCGTCGATCTTGGTTATTCACCTTCGTCAATAGTATCTCATTTGAAGCCTTTACGATCTATTACCAGGAAGTAATAACTACATTTTCGCCGGTATAGGATATGCTATATAATAAGAGTATAATGAAGCGGTTGTTCTGCAGAACCCACAAAATGAGATAATAAAAGAGAAATATGTAGCAAATGCTAAACAACTAAAGGAAACGTGTGAGTTAAACGTAGTTGAGGCTATAATTAAGGCATAAGTCGTTTTTAATTTGAAAATATTATTATTGGTAACGCCACGGTGTTGTCACTAATTGTATCCATTAGACGACTGTACTGTAAAACAATTATATTTAAAACATATTATTTAAAATATATTATTTACTTATTATTATAATATATATTTTTATCGCAAAAATATTGAATAATTTCTTCCACTTTATATGCACGTACACATACTCGTATATTTTACGTTTCATAGGGCTAATAGTACATAGTGTTCGTTTAAAGAATTGCAAAGTAAGGTACATTATGTTAAGAAGAAAATATTAAGTTTACGCCGAGATATATTCTGTCGGATCATGTACTCTTCCCTCTCTTTCTCTCTTCGGAGCACATTTTACTTGATCTTGTAATAGAGCAATTTATGGGTTATTCGCCGCAATTTTCTGTTTAAGACATTGATACTTGAAAAAAACACGGAAGGAAAGATCGCGACTTTTATATTCCACAGTGAAACTGCTGCTGCGATAGAGATTTTCCGCTGCTTGACGAATGAGTCTATATCATACTTGTGATTACTAATAGTATCCAACGAAATTTTATTCCAGGTCGACATGTCGTGTTAAGAGAAAATTGAAGGAGTATCGAAATCAAGTAACACTCAAGTAAGTTTCTGAATAAAGTAGGATTAATAGCTGTAGGTTTTTAAACAAGCTCTATCTTTTAAACAAGTTCTATCGGGTTACATCGGTGTATGTTTGCTCAAAAGTAAAAAAATTCTAAAATGCGAATTAAATGAAAAATGATATGAATGTAAAAAGTATTGTAGAACAAATGTAGCATATTCTACAGTATGTGAATATTATGTATATATGCATATTTAAAAAGAAATTGTAACGTTTTCTAACAATAAGAACGGAAAACACAATACACGTTCACAGACAACTACCAAATCGCTTAATCGAAAGCGTGACTGAGAGCGACTAAAAAATGGCGAGCCACGTATGATTATTAATCTTCAGTTACATCTTCAGATGTATCTTGAGTGCACTGACTCGTAGAACTATTGTGTGCGAAGAATTGCAATCGTGAAAAATTACATTTAATCCTAATCCATTTCTTGTTGCATTTATTATACAGAGCAAAAATTCGGCACGTACTTTTTGTTCGATTATTGTAAAATTACTATAATATTTATTTGCATATAAACATGAACGAAAATCTTTTTAGGAACGAATAGGAACTTTCTCTTCGTCAATGAAATGACATATTTTTCATTCCTTTCTTCCTTTCTAGACTTGAGAAAATTAAATTAGATCTTACAATTAGAATAAGTTCGGCTGCTATCGTAAAAAATGTCATACCGTGTAATACATATCTGGAAAAAGGGTCATCAATCATTTTCGTTTATCACTGAAATTAATTGACTTTTGTGTCGTTCTCCAAAAGAGGAAGTGGCATTGATTGAGAAATAGAATACTATCCAGTTCTCGTTGAAAAAGGTACGAAGTTAGAAACTCGACCTTGAATTTGGTGCAAGAAAGTATGTGAATGTGCGTGAATAAGCTAATTAACGGGCGCCTCTAACAACACCATTGTCAGCGTCCCGGCGCGGTGCGTCGAGAAAGGATTGTGTATGTGGACCGTAACGGTGCAATATAAAACCGATGGTTATCCTTGTCAGTGAAATTTTAATTACATGAAATAGAGGCACAGTCGGCGCGATGGAAATACCAATTGGCGAATTATCAAAAACACGTTACAACGTCAATTTTATTTTCTTGAAAGCTGCAGTAGACAGTTTATACAGATCTTTTCAAGACAGCTGTATTAACTTCACTCTCCAATTGCAATGATAAAGTTTTGATTGTCGATAATTACTTTTTACCCATTAATAAAAGTCTAAAACAAGAGTCTATTTTGAATCATGAAACGGAAGAAACAAATGTTTAGTCACATTGAATTATGTTGATGATTCAATTATTTACGCGACAGCTGATACGTAAAGTAAACTGCATGATCAATGTAGAACAACGGCAGATTTTCGTCGTTTGTAATAATTTATTTACACTACTTGCATAACATTTGCGCGAGTTTTGAAAAGTCAGTTTTTATATTTCACAAACAATTTGTGAATATTGAAAGTAATATCTTACAAATATTACAATTGCAAAAGTTTGTGTAACTTTTATGTTGGAAGAAAAAGTTTCTTTGCACGCATAAAAATATTAAATAATCTTTCTGGAAATTGGATATAATATTCAGAGAGTCGATCGCGCGCGTCGAAAGTGCAACTAGTAAATGTAGAACACTTTCCGTGGGGTCGCGTTGTCGGAGCAGTGGTTACATTCTCTTGTTATTTGTTCTTCGTATTTTGGAAAGCACATTTGGGTGTGGCCTATAGACGTATTAACACATTTTTTGCGCGTTGTCTGTAGAATGATAATTATCAACAAATATTTAAACAATAAAATTCATAAGGCTCTGACGTGAAATCACAATTCGAAGAAATGAAGGATATAAGAGCCAAGACAGGACGTTAATGTCTAAATAATTTTAATTTTTTAATTTTGCGCAATAAATTTGAAAATTAAAATCATTTAAACATTAACATCCTGTCTTGGCTCTTATACCCTAGCGGAAAAAATTTCTATAAATAACTACAAAAATTGACTTGAAATAGCAATTTGTAGAAATTTTTATATCTTCTAATTTAATTTCGTTCAAGAAATTTATTAATGAAATTATTAATAAAATTATAAGAGCATTGAAGGTCTAATAGCATGATACTATCATTCTAGCTCTAAACACAATTCTTATTGTAGCTTATTAATTCAAATTAATGCATCACCCCCTCTATTTCTATGTATCTTTCATATTTTATTATTTCTTGCTTTCATTCATTAATTTTATTTTATAATATTTGATTTCCATGAAAGCTTCTTATCCTTTGTTATTTTTCTCTAATAGGCAGGTAGTCTTTAAATCATAGAGGAAAGTCCTCTGTTACGAGATAAGTTTCTAATATGAGATAGCATTCAATATCCAAATTCAACTACAAATCTTTTTTTGCAACAATTACACAATCTAAGGACGAATTTTTCACTAAACAGAGATTTCGCTCCAACGGCAATAAATTCATAGTGGAATTAACACATGACGTCTATTAATTTATTATAACAGAAACCCCCGCTGTCTCATATTAGGAGCCTATCTCATAATAGGGGACTCTCCTCTACTTGAATAATTATTAATCGCGAGACATTTTTTCTGATGTAGTTTTCTCATGTAAAATTCCATAATTTACCTCACAAAATTTCACAATGAAACGGATATTTTGAATAACGCGTTACGCGCCAGAATTTAAATAAGCAGAGCAAGAAACAAAGTAGAAACTCGGTAAAAAATTAAAGACCAACGCGAATGCTGCTGCACCCAGGCAGCGCTGCCGCGACGGATAATAAATCCTATCAGTTTTTTTGTCGCTGCCTACTAAATTGTCTATTTACCGCCGTTATTTTCCGTCGCTGTCTACGAACTTTCGTTTGAGGAGACCCTTCCCCGGGTCCGCGATGTACCAGCTGCTTCGTTTTCATTTCATAGAACCGATAGCGCCGGGTACACCTGTCGGATCGGTCCCCCGGCTCATCCGAGACGTCCCGGCGGGGAAAAAGCCGGGAGTAATCTCTCGCTGCTGCATCTCTCGCATAATGGATGCAGCGAGCGTACGCCCATCGCGTCGCGCCGTCGACGCTGTCCGTCTCGCTCGGTGAAGAAAGTGTCGATTTCTCCCTAAACAAAAATTCGACGGCTCACCCGGCCGCGTTTAGCGGCGAAGGCCGCGGGGGACCCTTCTCCATTTCCATTCAGCGCGATGGTACGGCGGACGCGGCGCGATCGCCGGTGCATTTCCACGGTGGGAGGCGATCGGCGACTATGCGCCACGTCTATGCTCTTTTTATCTTGTATAAAAGAGAAGAGGCGTAGCGCAGATAGCCGCAATATATCTGGATCATCCGCGGCGGCGAGCACGACCGGACACGGATTGTATCTCGGGCCTCTGGTCGGTCAGCAGGTGGCGAGCATCGCCTCTTCGCCGCACGTGCCTCGCGACGACACCGATAACGCGACGACAGGACGGTCAGGAGCGCATTATCAGGGCTTGGGCAAGCGGCGCGACTCGTTCAAGGACCGGCGGTATGCGGTGCTCGGTGAGTCAGACCTTCCAACTTTGCCACGAGAGAGATTTAATTCCTTATTTAATTGAGAAGCGATACCTTCTGTCTTTTAAGACAGAAAAAGTTGTGCTGATAAACGGTACAGATGTACTCATCTTTTTCTGAAGGAACAAAAGGAGTGACACCAAGAGACAGATAAGCTATCTGTAGGATGACTTTGACAGTTAATTAAAAGTGACAAATTTAAACGTGCAAATTTTACGTACAATGCTTTTGCATTGTCTTGGAGTTAGGGACGGTGGTTCCAATCTTTCGGAAAATTAACTAATAGTTGAAGCATATGTGTGTTTTTGTTTCTCCTTCGAATTCAACAGATAGACATATAATTGAACTATTAGTTAGTTTACCAAGGGGTTGGAAAAACCAACCCTTAGGCCTGGGTTTTCATTTTCTGGTTAACTGTTGACTAGAAGTTAGTTTAGATACTCTGTCTCTTCTTAGATCATAATAAGATGGAGAATCGACTAACCTCTGGTTAACAGTTAACCAGAAAATGAAACACTGGGCATAAACGAGATTAAGGGCCAGTTTCACAAACGTCGGTTAACTGTTAACCAGAGTTCAGTCAACTTCCTCTCTTTTTCTATTTTGTTATCTAAGAAGAGACAGAGAATCAATTAACCTTTGGTTAGCAGCTAACCGACGTTTGTGAAACTGGTCCTAAATGACAGAAAAGAGGAGGAGAATTTACTTCTTTAAATCACAATTCATCTTTTTATTATTTTTACTGGTTGCCTATCTCGCTTGTTAACGAAATAATTGATTGAGATTTATGCTTGTGTTTAAATAATTAATAGCTTTTTATTATTGCATTATAGATGAATAAATTTGAACCTTTATGCATAAAAAATAAACTTAATATGCATATCTATACTTTTATGTATTTAATTATATAGAAAAGAAGTAAAGACAGAATTAATCCTTGGAGATGCAACAATTCATTTTGATAATTTCACAATTTAATTGAACAAATAGTATAATGTGACTTTGCGCTACGCTTTTCTCAATTTAATATTGCATTTATAATAGAACGTGTGTCCCGTATTTCGTAAACCAGAATTAATGACAGTACACTTTGAGGATTAAAACAATCTCTTTGTACAATCGCTAGAAATGAAAAAAAAAGATTAGCAGTTTAATTAAACGCGGTAAAAGCTTATTCGAATTTAAACTGATTTCTAGGATGCGACTTACAATTAGAAGAAACTGACAACATAGACAGGATTAACTTTCATCGTGTGAAAGTCGTAGTACATACTTATCAATGAAAGTATGATTAAGCGAGGGAAGAGGCGAGGCCGATAAAAGCGAGCCGACGGGTTTAGATAATTACGCTATTTGTGATCATAAACCGAGCACTAATGACAACCGTAGCGTGTTAAAATTGCGTGCCTCGGCACGTGTAACTTTTACAAATGAGATTCTACGCGCGACCGAGCTCTCATGATTCCGTGCGAAAACCTGTCAACTTAATGGACAGTTGATTTACTCGATCGTTTACGCTCGTTATCGTTAATAGAAATGTTAATAATCTGCAATTAATGTTCGCAGGTCCTCTGCCTTCTGCTGCTGGCGATCAGCGAGCCCCTTCTTACTCATGCGTGAGTATCCGTGCCACACTTAATTAAGGCTAATTGATTGAATTAGATTAATATCGGTATGGAGAGAAGTGTTGACTTATCAATTACAGTAAACGGTATCTCAAAGTCGTAAATTCACGTTTTAAAAACTGGCTCACGTTACAAAAATATAAGAACTTATAAGTAATTATTTAATCATTTTTGAACAATGTGGATCTTAAACGATTTTATAAATATATCACATTCTCGGTAACATACAATTAATTACAAGTTTTTGAAACGCTTGTTAAACTGTTGGCAAATTGATTAAATAATAATACACGGAGATAACTTTCTTCAAAAGTTTATCCTGAAAATCATGTAATCGTGGAACAACACGGCACTTCGAGAAATTTTATGAGAGTTTTTTGAAATTTTACCATACATTTTAATAGTAATTACACTTAGTGTACATTTTACTTTAACTTTGTCCCACGATTACACGATTTTCGGGATCAATTTTGAGAGAAGATTCCCTCCGCGTATAAAGCATTAGATAATCTGTCCATTATGTATTCTCCTTTCCAGAAAGGTAGTGGTGATCGTACCACGACAAGTAAGACGGAGCCCAGCGGTGCCATGGCGACCTCCGGGTCAGTACAAAAAAGCATCTTACAGCGGAAACATCTTTCCTCGTCACGCGCAATACGGTCGCGTTAATCGCTACTACAAGAAACCATTCCGGCCGCTGCCGTATGGAGGCGATGATTTCGATCACGGTCCTGAATTTGCGAATCACGTGAATGTACCGTACGGCAAAGACATCAGTCACGGCATCACTGTCGGCAAGGGATACATCCCGTACGATAACATCAAGAACAATAATTTGCCATTCGTGCACGAGAGGTAATCTTACATTCTCTATACGATTTATTTTAATTTATTTCTTTTTATCTTTAAGGACATTAAATTTTTCTAACTGTATTAAAATCTAATTATAATTATAGCATAATAAATAATAAAGTAAATAAAAATAGTTGTACAGTTAAAATTAATTATAGTGTAACTAATAAAAAAATGATATACTTAGAATTAGTTTAACTATAATTAATTATAATAATATTATTTTCACAACCTAATATGTGGAGATGTCTTGTCACTTTTGTTAAGGGAATCCTAAAGCCGTCTGTTTTATCGACATTCTTTGTCAGAAGTAATTTTTTAAGAGGATCCTTCAGCCATCTTTTTACCGACACAGTCAAATATAGTTTTCGCGCTTGTAATTCTTTTTATTAGCTTTTATGCACAAAATAATTCCAGGATAAGTTGCGGGCCACATAATAGAACATTTTCATACTTAAAACGCTCAGTTCAGAAGTCTAATAAAAAAGATATTGGTATTTGAAAGTTTCAATTCGTAGCTCTAACTAAATTGGAAATTAGCTTTATAAAATTGCTAAATTCTTTCACACGATTAAAGTACGCATAAAGACAAAACCAGGGACAGTCTTACGTGATTAAGGTTAGCTAACCTCAATCACATATAAAATGATATTTTTTATTTCTTTTCTTTTTTAATATAAAGTCGACTGTCCTTGGTTTTGTCTTCATGTGTACTTTAATCGTGTGGAAGAATTTTGCAATTTTATAAAGCTCATTTCAAATTTAGTTAAAACTACGAATTGAAACTTTCAAATTATACCAATTTTTTTTATTAGACTTCTGAACTGAGTGTTTTAAGTACGTAGAGTATGAAAATGTTCTGCTGTGCAGTTCGCAACTTATCCTGGTATTATTTTGTGCATAAAAGCTAATAAAAAGAATTACAAGCACAAAAACTATATTTGACTGTGTCGGTAGGAAAGATGGCTGAAGGATTTTCTTAATTGGCTTTATAGAAATGCAAAACTTTCTACGGAATTAAACTACTCAGCACAATCTAAACTATGCTGGTTGACTTTATATATCAAACACGAAAAACAATAAAAAATTTTACTATATTTTGGTACACTCGACGACAATATTTGCTTGATACAAGAATTCTATAATAAATATATACAAAATAAGACCAGCATACTTTAAGGACAACATATAAGAACAATATCGTGCAATTAGAACTAAGATTAATAACCTAGAAAAAAAGATTACTTCTAATAAACGGAAGTCCTGAAATCCAAGTCTAGAAGGCGTGTAGAAATAGTTGCAGGCTTTTTCGAAAGAGGTCGCTGCCAATTATCTGTCAGATTGTCGGTAAAGCCATGGGGTTGATGATGCTGATGCTACGATTCGATCCAATCTCGGTCTGAGCAATGTGTAGCTAATAAAATTGCTACTTTTTCGTAAAAGTTGCAAATTGATTGGCTATAAATTTGTCGGACCGAGTAAAACTTGGAATTAAATATGTCGATAATTGACGTTTTTAATTTCGTCTCCTATTTTACCGCCACTGATCGAGTTCCCTAGCGGCTTTAGGTTCCCCTTAAAACTTGACTGCGTAACTTGTATAAAAACATCAATGTTGCTTTCAAATTTGTCAATAAGTAATCGCACACAGTACAGAAAGATTGCAGGAAGATTGCAAAAATGTTACATTGCAAGATTGTAATATTGCAGCAACGTTGCGCAACATTGCTGCAACGTTTCTAGAGGATTGCAGCAACGTTGAAATGTCCGCCCTCAAAGAGATTGCAGTGCAACATTATAGCAATGTTGCAGTGAAATATCTTTGGAATAATTTGTTGTTGTTGTACATAAGCAGAGAATTTACTAATTACATATGCATCCGGGCCTTTTTCAATACACAACAAGCTATTGCGAAGCAACCTAAGGAGATTATGTCGCTTCGCAATAGTGAATAGATGGAGATTGCGAGCAACACCGCACTGATCAAGTACTTAATAATTCGCGCATTATTGGTATCAACGAAAATAACATTATAAAATTCTCGTAATTAGAAAAATTTTTTAAATAGAAAATATAGTATTTTTATTATTTTTGAAACATTGCTGCAATATTACTATCGAAAGTTTGCAATTTTATATCCCTGCAATGTCTCTGCAAGATTGCACTGCAATCTGCAAGATTGCAACGTTTCTGCAATGTAACTGCAACCATCTGTGCTGTATGGGATTCGTGCAAAGCATTATCTGACTTCTCACAGACGAACGCTTTTACTTTCAAGAAGTTCGACTAGTACAAATGACACATATTGCATTCAAAAGAGGATGAACTGGTATATTTGATACCGGTTAATCTTGATCGGTTTATTCTAGTTTCCACTCGCGACCAGGTTTTCCTAACATGACTCTTGCTCGCTTTAGATACCCTGGCGCTTACGGGCGTCAACCGGCTGCTCCGGACTACCCGCCAACCAGTTTCACGTCTGTAGGTCAGGAATACGCAACGTCGGCGACGGCGCATTCCTACGAAAATCCGCAGATAGACTCGTTCTTCTCGGACATGGAGAGCGCTGCCAGGGGCGGCGGTCTAAAAGACAACGTGAGCAACAAGTATTATGGTACGCGCTCGATTGAGAAAGACCTCAGCCTGAGGAACCAGCATGCCCTCAGCAGCGTCATAGAGAAGAGCAAGGACTCCCTGGCGAAGGGCACCGAGGGTTTGTCCCCAGATACGCCTCCAGCCGCGTACGCTCACGCCGCCACCGCTTCCACTTCCGTTGCCATTCCCTCCGCTACCACAGGTGTGCAAGGGGCCGTGGTGGTGCCGGTGGGTATACCGTCGGCAACTATCGCCGGTAATAAAGACGGTATCGTGCTGCGGGACACCGTGTCCCTGGACGAGTATCAGAGAAAGCTGGAGGAGCTCACCAAGACCTGGCCGAGCGTGTTATCCGCCGGCGCCCACTTCGCGACGGCCGGAGCGATCTCCGCGCCTCAGCAGCTGCACGCTGGCTTCCCGACCACCGGTCTACCAGGTGCCAGCTTCGGCGGCCCGACCGGCGGTGCTAATTGGCTCTCCAGTTTCGCTCAGTCCAAGCAGGGCTACGCCGTACGGGAGGATCACGGGGACACCACGACCTATGACTTCAGAACGATGGGCGTACAAGGCGCACCGTATCAGCAGCTATCGTTGGCACCCCACGGGGGTGTATCGGCGGGCTCGGGGTTTGTTCCGAGCGCCCACGGGTAGGCGAGGGATACGCGCGGGAATATCAACGTCGCCCGATTCGTGCGAGCACAAAGTTCTTTATTGTATTTAAGGAGTATTTATTTTTTTTATTTACGTAACTGATAATTTAGATCCACTGTCTTTTTTCGTGAAAGAGCCGGAAGGACCGGTCAATTTCATGCCGCGAGGTCTCTGAATGCGAGCGCGTCGGACGTCAATGATTGGACGTTTTTAAATAAAATGTGATTTTGATCAATTTAACTTCTCTTCTCGCAGACACAGCAACATAACGTACGTTCGTAACGTGTTGCCACGAATGTATAAATATGAGGGGGAGGGGGTATTTTCGTGTCGCGAAATTTGACGCGTCGGAATGTGAATTGAATAAAATTACGTCCAGATTCGAGGACAGGTACGGCCAATCTTTTTCAATTCGCGGGCCACGTTCGACATTTTCAAACTTTTCGATAGACCGAAACAGTCTTGAAAATGTTAGATTAAAAAAAGTTTTTTATAAGAAAAAACACCAAAGCTGTTTTAAACATTAGTGTTTTTTTTCTTTCTCCAATTTTTCATATTTCAAAATATTGCGGGCCGCATCCGGCTTGCGGGCCACAGGTTGGCTGTGCCCTAGAAATTCTCAACTATTTGTATATGTGCAGATATTCCGCAGTGTGCGCGGTAACGATATACATATAAATACGTAACGTTTGAAACTTGGTAGGATGTTTCTAATTTAAATCTTATTTAGGATCTCTTATTGGTCTCTACGTCTTGATGAGCTTGGAGCACTGTCAACATTTACTTTCTCACGAGAACTTTACTATTCACACGAAAATCGACTGTTCATATGAGTTGTACGAATTGTCCGAGAAAAATTCCTGCCCTGAACATTTTATGGTGAAAATATTGTAGAAATATTTTACGCTTGTATTACGTTTCTATTTTTAAGAGAAGAGAAGAGAAGAGAAGAGAAGAGAGAGAGAGAGAGAGAGAGAGAGATTGTTTTTTACTTATCTGACAATTGCATGTACAATTCTAAATGAAATCAAATTTTTGATAAATCTCCTCTTTGTTTCATATGTTCAAAAGTATCTAAGGTAGTGTTTTTGAAATTATAAGCAAATAAAAGATAGAAGAAAGTCCCCTGTTATGAGGCAGGTCCCTAATATGAGGCAGCGGGGTTTCTGTTAAATAAATGGAGAAGGAAAGTCAACAATTTTGAACACGGTCTGATTATTATTAATTTTATTTTTTGTTACGTTACATCTGACAATTTTATATTTTCATATTATAATTAAATCATTTGTTGATTCCATTTATGAATTTATCACCCTTCGGGCGAAATCTGTTTAGTGGGAAATTCATTGTTAGATTCTGCAATCGTTGCGAAAAAAGATTTGCGATTGAATTTGGGTGTTGAAAGCCTGTTATCTCATACTAGAAACTTTCCTCCGTGTAATAATACACGTAGAATAACTTCGGGGCGATAATGTGATGATCTTAATTAAAATTGCGGAAATAGTAGGTAATGAAAATGTCACATCACATTTTGTTAACTATTCAATCATATCAATTCTAAATCACTTTATACACAGCCCATATAGCACGTCTTCTCGAGTTGTCCTTAGTAGCACAGTGCATTAACCAAATATTGGGCAAACATTGGCCCGATGTTTGGTTGTATTGGGCCAATGTTCAGCCAATGCACTATGCTACGTGTGTCTAAGAGACGACTTAAAGACATCTTAAAAATGTCTTTTAGACACGCGTGCTGTTTGAGATATATGTGCAGTTTAGTTGAAGGCATTTTTTACAGGTTTTCTTGCCATTTGAAATCGGGACATGTGATACACGCGATTTTAAGCGGCGAGAGACGCGTAAAAGGCACCTTCGACCCAACGTAACACACTTGGATTTGCAGTGATTGTTCAGTGAATAAATCAAGTATATTTCAGTAATCAGCTTTAGGAAAATGAAAGTTAATAATAGTAATGAAATGAAACGATCGTATCAAATTATTGAGCATGACAGAGTGGTATTATGAAGTTACGGAAATATTCTCTTAACGTCCTAGCGAATTTTACTTTCACTTTGTTTTAATCAGGATTAATGTGTGAATTTGTGTTTGCAAAATATTCGATACCTTGAACAAGTCTCGTCGAGCTTGCCCGTCTCATTATAGATTATTTATATGTATTGTTTTATTCGTAAGAAATTACTTATAAGGAAAGTCAACATTAACGTCTGTATGAGCACCGTACGACAATTTTCAACGCGGTCTGAATATTATTAATTTTACATTTTGTCACGTTACATCTTGCAATTTTATATTTTCAAATTATAATTAAACGTTATATGATTTTCGAATGCGAGAAAAGAGATTGTAACGGTCGCTGGACAAACTTTCAGTCTCGAAAAACGGACACGGACTGTTGAAAAATTGAAAAAATTGCTTAACTGTCCTGTCGTAAGAAATAAAAATGAGATATTTTTTACATAATGTTTTTCAATTAGGATAGAGCATGAATAATGAATTTAAATGATTTTAAATTGTACGTATTGCTATGTTACTTCAATTTGTCAAAGAATCTGTGACTGAAAGATTGTACGCGAGAAAGATATGTCGTGAAGTGGATGGCATTGCGCATCGCTACAATTTCAAATACCTAAGATTTGTACGCAACAGTATGACGTCATTCCTGAGATTGCATAAATGTAATGATACTATTTTAGGGGCTCGTAAGGCAGGCTACTATTATTCTCACAAACATTAAAGCATTACGTGCAAATTATGAATATTTAGACGTATAATTGTAAAATTAATAATCGAATCTGAAGCTGTAAATATGAAAGAATTATGAGGGAATGATCAATTTATCGATCAAACATTTCGTCGCGACCGGATCTCTCTAATATGTAATTAGCATGACATATTAGTTGAAGAAATCTGTTTCAATTGTTTCTACTAACCGAATAAGTTTTCAGTTCATCTGTCGTACACACGTTCGACTTCTCCCGTTAATATGTAAAGGACGAGGAATATCATTCCGAAGTGTCGTTATAAAATGTATAATATACCGTATATGTATATCTGACGATTCTTTAAGTACGAAATATTACATATTAATATATTTGCAATGTATAAAAAATAAATACATATGATGTATGAAGAAAATGATTAAACTGAAATAATTATTAATGTCCCTTTCAACTTCCATTCCTCGACTTAATGAATAATTTACGCAAAAGAGTATTTAACTATTATTTTTATCATCTTGATTACGCGCATTTATACATATAATAATTATCGGATGAACCGTTAAATATGGCATCACTGAAACTAAGTTTGTAAGTCTAATAAGAAATAATAGTGAGCAACACGCACATACAGTACATGTGGTATGTGTGTTGCTCACTATTCATTTTTATTAGACTTACAAACTTAGTTTCACTGATGCCATATTGTTCTTTCATTTAGCCGGAATAGCAAGCTGTTTTCGATCTGTACACGTGAGCCATTTAATTGGTATATTACACAAATGTTTCCACGAAACAGACAGTTTTAAGTGCAAAAGGTGCAAAAGTGCAGAATCACTCCAGCATCCCCTTAATATTGCGAACACTTTTAATTGTCTAAAAAGACATTTGCAAATATAATAATTGTACGATATTTGTTTATATCTATTAATTTGTGGCAAGAACAAGAGGTACGAATTTCCACAATGGCAACTGTCACATCAGCGGTTGCAGAGTTTCTTTTTGTAAAAATAGCAATTGAAGGCATTTGCGGGTAATAAATATGCACGACGGCCGTTAAATCTGACTGGTCGGAAACGCGCGCCGTTTCCACGGTCGAGCGGTCATGGAGGCGGCTGTAAAAATCGGCCGCCTTGTCCGACACTCGAGCAGAGTAATGCCGGGAGATCACGGTCACCAGCGGAGATCGCATCCTCTCTCGTTCCGGTTACTTTCACTGGAAGACCGATGACCGGTTGAACGTTTGAAAGTCGAGAAAGCCGTTCTCCACGATCGCACCGTCTATATGCTGTATAGATGCCGCTCACGGTTGTAATCGGCAAGAAGGGAATCGATGGCAGAGGATAGGGAAAGTGAAAGGATCGGGAAAGGGCTCGGGAGAAAAACGATAATTCGCGGTGAGCGAATCAAATCGGGTTTTTATAAAGCGTCAACAAGCAAAAACGAGGCATCCTCTGCTAAAATGTGGCTTCCTATCCGATTTTTAATACGATTCACGCACGAATTGCGATTCTTGATTGCCAAATTTTAAAAAAGGCCCAGAAAAAGTATTCAAGAAATTAATGTTTTCGCAGTTGTACAATTGTTTAATTTGGTTAAAGTAAATTCTATTTATTTAGAAGAAGAAAAAAAAAGAATTCTTTTAAACGCCAAAGTTCACAGAAGGTTTTCTACATGTTCCCCTCCCATTTCCACATATGCTTCACATCTTTGTACCGTACAAGTGCGAGCTCTTCCAAAAATGCCTGGCTGCCCGGGAAGAAAAGGAAAAATCCATTATTTATGTCACAATTATGTAATATTTAATTATATTTTATGAAATTTCATTGTAAAAATCATCAGATCCGCAAAGATTTGACACTTTTCTTGTAATGTTCGAGGTTATCTATTGAGATCGAACTAAATCTATAATTGAATGTTCTAAGACCGGTATTCATAGTCAGATCTTATATTCAAGACCGTCTTAAGATCATCTCTAGATACTCCGCAACCAATCAAATGTTCCATACAGCATCTTTAGATAAATTCAAGACGGTCTTGAATATAAGATCCGACTATGAATACCGGCCTAAGAGAACATAAGATCTCGATAGATAATAACGTTGAATATTCAATAAAAGTGTCAGACATGATGATTTTAGAACTGGATATAATTAGATATTACGTGATTGAGATAGACGTTTCCATTTTTTCCCGGGTGTTTATAATTCTGAAAATATTAATTTTCCACTTTTCTTTATTGGGACTTTCTGTGCGTGTCAGGAATCGATGAATAAGCATTTAAATTTTCTAATGTTGTCTGTCATTTAAGTCTCGATTTGTTTCTAACATTTACATATTGAATTCGTATCGCTAGACTGAATTTATATCGCTTCATACAAGTAACGACTGTGTATGCACATACGTACATATGATAAAATGATGAAATTAATTAAGAAAACTCAAATAGGTTGTATTAGATTAATGCAAAGGGTCTCAAGTAGCATCGGAGAATCCGAAATGGATTCTTTTTCCATCCCGTTCTTTTAAAAACCTTCTTAAAAATGAAAAAAGAATTAGTTTTTATATCACTAATTCTGAGCTCACTTTTAAATACGAGGAAATTTTTTTAATTTAAAACTTTAATTCTACAATATTAAGTATAAAATAATAAATAATAAGATATAAAATCAATTAAAACTTTAATTTACCTCCGCGCAAAGTTAAAAACTTCTATACATACATGGAATCCATTTTGAACTACCGCAAACGAATTCTCTTGAGTTTATTTCGATCAGATTACGCTAAGAATTTAAAAAAGTGAATCCATTTTGAATTTATACCGATCGTACGTGCTTTTTGGAATTTGTCGCTTTTCTATTGAGTTCTGTTTATTGCATTAGATATTTACGTTAAATAGAAAGTCTTTTTCTCTAAGAACAAAAATTGAAAATTTACTGAATATAATATAAAAATAATCAAAGTCCCCGACAGTTTTGACGCAATTTTGATTTCTATTTTGAACGACAAAAATAACAAGCTTTTTGCGACAATCTACTATCAATATTTCTGGAGATGCGTAATTTCGCAATGTCTGCTAGAAGGCTGCTCGCTTCGTATATTTTGCATCGAATTGCATGACGCCGCTATCGGCGAATCGATTTTATTCCCGACCGCGAAAGGCTGATCTTGATCTTAATTGCAAGGTAAGGTCGTTCGGTGCACCTTCACCACCGGTTTCTCGCGGAAGCGTGTGAAAGTAATGGGTGTCAGTCGAGCCGCATCGTCAAAGGCAGGCATCAGCACAGGCAGGAGGAAGTTCGAGATGCTGATCAAATTTCCATCGTGTAATCGACGCGCTTGCAGGAAGACATAAACCTTTTTAAAAATATATATTTCGGAAACTTCAATAGCTAATCACGCGCGAGATGAATTGTAATAAAAAGATTCGGGTTCTCCCGGTTTCATCCGCAAATACGTTTAACACTGGGAATCACCGGTGCCTTCCCATATGAATTTAGGTATATTTTTACCTTCAAATTCAATGACAAATTAATTCAACAGAAACCCCCGTTATTTCATATTAGAAGCCTATCTCATAATAGGGGACTTTCCTCTATGTATAAGCAAAATATATAAATGTGTCAATACGAGCGCGAAATGAGGGAAGGCATCGGTGATTCCTAGTGTGCGCACAATTCTTACAATTGACTCGCGCAACGTTTACTCGTAAGTTAATGCACGTTTTATCTGAAGAGAGTAACGCTCACAAAGTAGAGAGTTTAACGCATGGGACCGGTTCTCCGGCCGCGAAGAAGAAATTTCATTTTACGAGGCATAAAAACACGCGCTTGTAAATCATCGTCCACTTGGACTAAATGGGGATTGAGTCAGTTCGATTGTTTGAGGATAATGCCTCTACAAGTATCGTGACAGGCATTACATGATTAGCAATAACGTAAGAGGTACACTCCATGTTATCTTTACAATTTAACTCTTTCACACATTGTTGCGACACTTTCATATAGATCACTAACTAATTATTATTAATTGCCGCCGCACACTAAAAAAATGCCGTTTCACGTATTTTTGTGCGTATCTATTTAAGTGAAAGCTACACGACAAAATCATTTCTCCCGGAAAAGTCTCATTATTTGCACATAATATATATATAAGAGAATATTTAGAAATTAAGAGAAAATTTCCTGTTTGTGTATTTTCCGACACGGCGGCGATATCGACTACTGTATCTTAATGCGATCAGAAGCAAAAACAGATGTTTAACGTTAAATTATTTTATTTCGCTCAAGCAAGTCTGGCTTCATTAAAGATTGAAGCTTCGTTGAGATTGGAGAGCGGGGGTTGCATTGTACCGAGATCACGAAAACCCGCGTCTCTCGCGTTGAATTGACAAGTGATATAACGGAGATACCGTGTCAATGCCAGCTTGCGCGGAATCAAGGCCAGCAATTCCGGGCAGAAGGAAGTCCGCGAGTGCTCGCCGCAAGTTTCGTCGCGGAATTTGCCGTGCAGGCTTGAACACGATAAGGGAAAAGAGTGAAAGGATAAGGAGCGGCACAATACGACCGGGAGAGCCTCTCACGGTTACCCGCCACGAGCAACTGTCTTTCTCGGTGCGACATGGTATGCGTTTCCGTCTCTTCCCGTTCACCAGCCTCTCGCGGCCTCGGTCTCGCTCTCACCCTTTTATTTTCACTCACTCTCCCTTTCCCTGCACCCTATTCTACCTCCTGCGCGTTCCTGCTACTTTCTATTTTGTTACCCGACGGTATCTATGCGCCGGACGTATGTGTGTATGAGATCCATTAACGCGCTGCACAAGGTAGATACGCGCGGCTGAGGAATCGCGTCGCGAACTTTATATTGGGTGTCGTAAACCAGTAAATCGCTTTTCATTTGTGGATTTTTTTTAAACCATTAAACGTTTTGTTAAGCTTTCTTTTCAGTAAAAGTATCGACAAAGACTATTATTCTTCTCGATTCTAGGCGTTAATTTGCAACGGTCTGAATATTTTTAATTACAAAGGCGATATTTAATTATCTTTTCTATTATAGATATTTTAAGATCGATGTTAAAACAATGCTTTGTAAACGTATTTTTTTAAATACGTTTCGAGAAATATATTTTATTATGTTATTGTTTGACTTGATTCGTAACAGGACAGATTGTTTTTGAAACAGGTTATATTTGTGTGTCCAAAGCTCTCTCCCTTTCCGAAAAGTCTTTCAACAGCTTACGATTACAAATTTATAGCTCTAAGTGAGTTTGTGTTAATAAAAAATTAACTTCAAGTTGGTACAAAGGTAATAAATGCGAATCAACAGTCTGGACGTGCGGGACACCTTGTATAGAGAATCCTCCGCGATAATTAATGTTACTGAAAAGTGCGAGGTAAATCGTCACTCTGTGCTTTCACATGGTTGCACTGACGAAGATCTCCCAGCGATTAAATGGTGAGTTGTTTGAGCATACTCGTTATTTCATTGTTGGGAATGTAGCGGTATCTACACCCGCATATATTGTGCGGCGGGCAATAAGCTATACGCCTGCAATGAAGTGTGAAGATTTGAGAAAGTAGAAGCTCAAATTGAATTGAAATTTATCGCATCTATTGTTCTTACGAACTCTCATTAGTTCTGCGTTAATAACGCAAATTCAATAGATATGCTGGGAGTCCTTTTCCAATCTGATTAATTGTTAAACTAGAAAGCGAGTCGTTCCGAGAGGAAGGAAATTAAATGTTTTACGTAATTATTATTATTTAATCAACGAAAAGCCGATGTAAAAAGTAAAGCGGTAATACATATTCTTCAATTTATTTCTCTTTGTTACAATTTTTTTTAATATATTAGATATTTATTACAAATTTACTTTAATGAATGGATAAAAGTTTACTTAACAAATTATGATTCGAAATTGTTGTTCTTTCAAAAGGTATCTAGCTTGTAGAATTTTCACTACAAAAGCTAAACAATTATAATAACTGTATGCTATTATTCTATTTCTTTATAGAATTATTTACAATTTGTTGATCTCAATTATATCTATTTGCTTTTTCAATAAGCATTTAGCCAGTACATGGAGCCAATACAAGTAATACTTTTTTCTTACATTCTCAGTATTGTTTATTCGAAATAATAAAATTGTCCTAATTAACTATGTATTATAAACTAATTATACTTTTCTTTATACAATACGCAAGATAATATCGAGCATAAGGAATTTTGTTTTAGAAACTAATAATTTCGAAAGGAAAAAACAAAATTCAGAGCAGTACGCAAATAGTCCTGAATTCTCGCGTAGCCTTCATTACCTCCTATGCAGCACGCATGTCTAAAAGACACCTTTAAGACATCTTCAAGTTGTCTTTTAGACATACGAGTACATATCTAAAAGACGACTTAAAAACGTCTCAAAGATGTCTTTTATAGACACGCGTGCTGTACGGGCTTAAAATATTCTATATTTAGCAAAGAAAAAGAGTGAAATTAAAATTAAATATATTGAAGATTAAAATAAAATGTAAATGCATTGCGCGCTATCTCCAATTACATCAGCGCGGAATCTAAATCAGCTTCGGATCTACAATGTTTTTGCATTGTCTGTGTTATACATCTTAACACATCGATTACACGTTACGTGCACGTTCGTGCTGGTATATCTACGATCGATTAGAATCGGTATAATCAATGCTATTTCTTGTTCGAATTACGCGCACAATTATTAATTATTCTCGCGTAACAACACAATAAGCGATTATTGACAGGTTAAATCATTATGCGTGCGTATTAATGCGTACACAAAGTAATTCCTACGCGTTACAGAAACTTTATAGAGGAATATACATGCTTTTCCCATACAGCAAGACGTGTAACGCCTCATGAATAACGTATAGATTATTTAAGAAGCGTTAATGTCGTATGATTTACGTCATTGGAGACAAATATGCGATTTGTCTACAACAAAATGGATATACGGCGAGGCGGATCAAAGAGGTGTTTGTAGGCTGCATCTTCTTATGCAGCGTTGCAAATGTGCGTTTCTTTCATGCTTGGAATATTTGAGCAGAAACCCCGAGGAGATACGTCTATCTTATTTCCTAGTCTCCTTTTTGTTCTGGAACTCGGGGAAAGTGTACAATCAACACTGGTAATAGTTCCGATTCGATGTTAATACTTATGTTTATCTGCTTATATGTTATAAACACATAAATCATAGAGATTAGTCATTGCAATGTCACTGCGCTTATCGCTAGTTACCAACTGCAATAGTGGAAGTGATAAGTAATGCGAGAAAGAGAGCACCCGGTAGTGTCTTGGACAGTGCACTACACGGTGAGAAATTTCTGTCAAAAATTATCCCGCACATTATGCAATCGTGGGACAACACGGCATTTCAAGGAATTTTATGTGAGTTTAAGGGAATGCTGGAGTGATTCTGCACTTTCGCACCTTTTGCACTTAAAACTGTCTGTTTCGTGGAAAGATTTGTGTAATACACAAATTAAATGGCACGTGTACAGATGATCGAAAGCAGTTTGCTATTCCGGCTAAATTAAAGAACAATATGACATCACTGAAACTAAGTTTGTAAGTCTAATAAAAAATAATAGTGAGCAACACACATACTGCATGTACTGTATGTATATGTTGCTCACTATTATTTCTTATTAGACTTGCAAACTTAGTTTCAGTGATGCCATATTGTTCTTTCATTTGGCCGGAATAGCGAGCTGCTTTCGATCTGTACACGTAAGCCATTTAATTTGTATATTACACAAATGTTTCCGCGAGCTGACAGTTTTTAGGTTAGAAAGGTGCAAAAGTGCAAAATCACTCCAGCATCTAACATTCAACTGGTACCACTATAAATCTTTCGAATGTGAATAGAATAATCTGTCGATTATAGCGTGTCGGTTATACTATATATGGTATGATCACAGGTTTCACTGCATTTTGCATAAGATAAGTGTATTACACAATAAGCAATGTGCAATACATAAACTCAATGGGTATTAAAAAATTATTCTGAACAAATATTCCAAAGGCATTCTCGATGAATATTCTAAAAATGTTCTTCTTTGTTATGAATAAATGATTTCTAATTGTAATAATCTATATATATTTATAGAATATTCGATTGGAATATTTTGAAATTAAGAATATTTGCACTCCAGAAGAATATTCATAGAACTATGTGTGCTATCTGGGTTAGTGTACATTTTGCTGGTAAAATGTACGGTAAAATTTCAAAAAAACTCACAAAGTTCTTCAAAATGTTCAGGATCAATTTTAAGAGAAAATTCCCTCCGTGTATTCATAACATAAAAATCTAATTTCTTTCACGTGAAATTAAAGTAAGATTAGCGCAACGGGAAGTTCGGGGCGAGAGAAAATCTGTCTTCCGAGTTTTAACGTCTGTTTCGTTTCCAAAATTCGTACGACTTCACGAAGCATCGATTGCGGAAGCCAACGAGTCACTGCACCGTACACTCTGCCCCGATTATCGCGAACCTAGCTGGCGGTAATCAATCATAAGCATCGATACATATACATATGTCGGCAAGATCGAGAAAGTTCAAATGGGAATTTCTCTAGGATCGAACTGTGTGGGTCACGGCCGTTCTTGCTCGCAGAAACGCATTACGCGCTTGCATGTAGTGGGCATCATCTGGCAAGTACATGTACCCCGGGTGTGCGGCGAGGGGTAATGCTCACACCAGTTTCGTACGTACGATCGGTTTCTTTTCGAGTGTTCCTCCGAGAGTGCCTCCGGTGGTACCTCCGGTGGTACCGGCGATCTTTATTTCATCCCCACTCGGCGCTTCCGGTATTTCCTCCCGTCTGGTATATATACAGGTAAGACCGCCGCCGCAAATATATGACAGTGTATACCGGGTCGCCGTGGTGAGCTGTGCGTGGGATAGGAGGAAGGAAAAGGTACGGCGGGCGGCCGCGTCCTGGATACCAGAATGGAACTCAAACACGCTGTAAGAAATTAAAACGGACGAAAATTGTTTCGTTTCACTGAGAAATTGGTAGAAAGGTTCGAGACTTTGCGTGCGGTTCGATGCGGCCTTGAAAGTGGTCTTCGTTCAGTGGGTTTTTTTTCTTCATCCAAATCTGAAGTTGCGCGAACGACAGTTTCGTGACTTTCGCGGACAAGAAGGAACTGTTGTAACAATTAGAAACTTTATTGACCCAGCTAATACATAATAATATATAGGAGAGCAGTTTTCTGTGTGTTATAATAATTCTCAAAGTTGTACGAAATTAGTGATTACAATTAATAAAATTTGATATTACAGCACAGCGGAGTTTTGTTAGTGAGAATAATTCTTGAACAAAATTAATTCCAAGAAAGTTAAATTTTTCAACGAAAAATATTTGTAATCCTTACTTTTGCTGTTGTAAAGAACATTTGATTATTCAATGCTTTCTTATCGATAATTTTTAATAATTTTAATTGAGAATTGTTCTAGCAATTGTTTATGACGTTATTTTTTGTTGCGCAATAAAGTCTGCTTATTGTTAAACATAAATATAAAATTTAAGTGGTAAGTTATGATTTTACCGAATCAAGCGATTAATTGTTTTCCGTGTTGTTAACGTAGATTCTCTTTCTTCTATGTGAATATCGATATTTGTATGCGATTATCAAAGGTTTGGAAATATAAAAATTGCGCATGTAATCTTTTTGATTTTTGTAATACAAGGATATTCAATGCTAAGATAATTCTCGTAAGTAATATTCGGAACGAAATGTAAAATAAAGTTTATTACGAATTAATTCCCTCGCGTTTAGCATTATCTGTTAGATTCATTTATCTAAAATTTAAAAATTGATGGACCATTAAGAATACTTATTTAATTGCAGATAAAGGCCCTCATTCTTGCAAATATTCTATCAGTAAGCCTCGCAACCTTCGGACATGAGCAGTGAGTTTTAATCGTATTAAAATATTAGTAAAATTATCAGCGTATTAACCGACAAATGTACAATATCTTGCGAATGTGAGATTTAGTTTTAAAAAATACCAAATAATTCCTCTTTCTTTTGCGGTGAAAATAATTAATCCGTAAGAAGTAGCATAAAAAGTCTAATGTTTCAAATTTATACCATCCTACTTAGACGCTCATGCGTAATTAATTTACATGTATAAGTAATTTAATCAGGACGCAATATTAATTCATAGAAATGAGTGAAAGAAACTGAGAGATAAGATTCTTCGTAATCTGTAATTACCGACACCTTAAGAAGCGCGTTAATTAGACCTCGCGCCGTTCCTTGTTTTAAGTATACTTTTTATATTTCAGTGTGCATATAAGGATACATTTGCCGGAGATATTGGAGCACCACGAAAAGAAAGTCATAAAATATGAAGATCACGGTGGAGGCGGTCATGGAGGCGGCGGTGGAGGTGGTGATCATCACATAGAGGTCTCTGGCCCTGGGGGGGATATTGGAGGTGGTCACGGCGGAGGTTTCGGAGGAGGTCATGGTGATAGCTATGGAGGAGGCGGTGGTTTCGGAGGCGCTTTCGGAGGGGGCTTCGGAGGAGGTCATGGAGGAGGTGGCGGCGGTTTTGGAGGAGGTTTTGGAGGTGGTCATGACGACGGAGGTGAGAAAAATGAAATTAAAGATATGCTTTAGTTATCCACCTTGCCACCTTTTTATAAAGTTTACAACATTAATTTTCTTTATAAGAATAAATTGTCTAATAGTAAATATTTGAGAGAGAAAAAGTGTGTTAAGTGTTTGCAAAGAAAAATGGATGTTATATTGTTTACTGAACAATTGGTACGTTTGATGAAGGACTTGTGATAAAATGCATTAACAAACTGCACGGATGTTATCTTGATGTAATACTTTCGCGTACCAACGAATTTATAATGTAATAATATCTTTGAATTTTATTATGACAGAAGAAAAAGTCTCTTATTTAAAGTTTTATAGTCCTTTTCATGTATTGAATATAATGACTCACAAGTAATAATAATAAAGTAATAGTAAACCATTGGCCATACTTAGTTTTGTTACGAACAAATTAAATGAATTTTTCGTATATGTTTGATCGCATTTTCGATATATATATATTGATTCTTTCAGTAAGAAAGAAGAACACTAAAAAATATGATCTTCTTTAACTAAAAGATTTGCTATCTTTTTCTGGTTTCGAGAACGTTTTGCGCATAATGTTATTGAAAACCTTTCAATTAACTGTTATCTTAGTTCACGATGAACTAAAGACTCGATGTACAAAGAACAAGTACTAATATTTTGAAATTGTCTATTTTAATATTTAGAAAATGCATGTATTTGAATATTTATCAGAAAATCCCATATACTTGTTATATTTTTTCCCCCATTATTCTTTGTACTAATCTTTTACAAACGTAGTTGATCATGAATATGAATATAAACATGAGCGAAGACTCACTTTATGTTTATGTCTTTTCAAATAAAAAAATCACTTTTCTCTTCCTCCCTTTGTCTCCTCTTTCTTTCTCTTATCTATCTCATATTTATCTCATGAGAGAGTGAGAGAGAGAGAGAGAGAGAGAGAGAGAGAGGAGGAGGAGGAGGAGGAGAAACAGACTTGGAGACTACAATCAAAACAATAACATGCTAAAAATAATAATTTATTTTAGGTGGGGATGTCATCATAGATCATGGCGGTGGTCACGGAGGAGGAGACTATGGGGGTGGCGGTGGTTTCGGAGGTGGCCACGGAGGAGGTTATGGTGGAGGTGGCGGCGGGGGAGGCGGTATCATCATAGACCATGGAGGACATGGCGG